TGATTTTTCGCTGTCTGTCTCTCTTTCTGGCAAGCACACAAGCCCTACAGCAAAAACCTCTCCAAAAAAATACTTGATTTGCCATCAAACAGTATGCAATAGTCACATGTAGCTAATAAGCATCTGATGTGTGGCTGGTCTAAATTGAGACAAGCTGTAAGTGCAAAATATACACCAGATTTTGAAGACTTACTGTAACAAATGTATCTCATTTTTAAGATTTCATGTTGAAATATATGGACTATGTATTTATTAAAAGGTTATGGTACATCCAGGACTATTCTCTATTTCTTGTCTCTTAAGAAGTACCATGGTTCATGCTGGCTTCTAAATAGGCTGGTTTGAAGATAAATAAAATGACCTCTCCTTGGACCCAAATATTTTTTTTAAGAATTATTTTATTAAACTTTATTTATTTTTAAAATTTGACCAGAGAGGGGCAGAGAGAGAGAGGGAGAGAGAAAGTGAGAAAGCTGCCAGTTTGGGGACTTGAACCTCAGTCAGCCATGTGGGAGTCAAGCACCCTTAAACACCATGCCACGTACTGGCCCTGAGCCAAAGATACTTTGTCTCCAAGGGTTCTCACTAGCTAGTATGCAATCATTATCTTCTTGGTGTTCGGGCTTCATCTTAATGAGCACTAATTACACATCTTTGAAACTAACTGTCACAGACTTAAAACACAACGGTTCCTCCCAAGTCAGGTAACCGCTTATCCAGTAGAATGTTACTGAGAACGGGTCAGGTTCAGATGCTAAAGGATTTCCCAAAGGTTCTAGTGGTTGAGAATTTTCAATTAACCATGATCAGTGTGGGACCATTTTCTGCCACCAAGGAACTGTTTGGGACAGGTACCACTTGGTCCTGTAAAGCCAGTCTCATTGTAGTCAGAGCTCCTGTGTTAGTTTCCTGTTACTGCTGTAACAAACCACCACAAACTCAGTGGTTTAAAGTGACTATAGTAAATTTTGATTGTTCTGGAGGTCATAAACCTAAAATCAAGGTGCTGGCAAGACTGCATTCCTTCTGGGGAACCAGCAGTTAGCGTAATGGCTATGTCGCTGGATTCCCACGTAGTCGACCGCGGTTCGTGTCCCGGACCCGGTGGCTTAAAACTCACGCCGGGCGCGTGTGCGTGCGTGCCCAAGATCCCGAGAGGAGAATGGAGAAGGGATTGCGGCGTGACCATCCCCCCTGGGGGGTGATTTCTCGCTTTCTGTCTCTATGTCTGTCTCTGTCTGTCTGGCAAGCGCACGCGCCCTACAGTGAAAATCTCTCAAAAAAAAAAAAAAAAAAGACTGCATTCCTTCTGGAGGCTCTAAGGGAGGATGTATCTTCTTACCTTTTCTTTTCCTTCTTCTTTTTTAGATTTTTGCCATAGGGTGTATACATGCTCCAGACAGAAAAAGTCAGAAATCACTACCCAGAGTGGATGGGCACACAGCAATCTCTTCTCTATTCTCTCAGGATTTTGGGCCTGAATGCACATATACCTGGCACAATTTTTAAGCTGCTAGGTCCAGGACTCAAACCACAGTCATCCATGTGGGAGTACAACACCTTAACCACCACACCACTTGGTGGCCCCTTCCCTTGCCTTTTTTTTTTTTGGGGGGGTTTTTGGTATAGGGCACATGTGCTTTGCAGAAAGCAGAGAGACAGAGACAGAAAGCGAGAAATCACCCCCCAAGGGGGAAGGCCACAACGCAATCCCTTCTCCTCCATTCTCTCAGGATTTTGGGCATGCATGCACACATGCCTGGAGTGAGTTTAAGCCACCGGATCCAGGACTTGAACCGTGGTCAACTATGTGGAAGTCCAGCAACATAGCCATTATACCATCTGCTGGTCCCTCAAATCTCTCTCTTATAAGGACACTTGTGATTATATAATATTTAGGACTTGTTCTAACCATTGAGGTCAATCTCCATCCAAAATCTGTAAGCACATCTGCAAAGTCCTTTTTAGCAATTTAAGGTAACAGTCACAGGTTCCTAGCATTAGCGTGCTGACATTTTGAGGGGCCATTATCCAGGCTTGGCACTGCCTTGGTGAAGGGTGGCAGCAGAAGGCACCCATCAGGGGCACAGGTTTCAGTGCTACTATGTTAACTACAGAGAAATGGGTAAGTTCAGCTCTATAACCACTGTAAATGCTGAGATCATCATAAACTGGCCTCATTTCCATTAGCTCTGCATTCCCTCCCAAGGCTGCTTTCTTTAAAATGCTCTGTAATGGGAACCAGCAGTAAGCGTAATGGCTATGTCACTGGACTCCCATGTAGTTGACCGCGGTTCGCGTCCCGGACCCGATGGCTTAAAACTCCCAACGGGCGCGTGTGCATGCCCAAGATCCCGAGAGGAGAATGGAGGAGAAGGGATTGCGGTGTGACTATCCCCCCTGGGGGGTGATTTCTTGCTTTCTGTCTCTATGTCTCTCTGGCGAGCGCACGCGCCCTATAGTGAAAATCTCTCCAAAAAAAAAAAAAATGCTCCGTAATGTTCAAACTCATTTTCGTCCTAGAAAATAAATGATTAGAGACAAGATACACATTTTCTTCTTTTAATTACCAGAGGGCACATGCACCCTCACAGAATGTGGTCAGACTATAATCCCTTCTCTTGTTTCTCCAACCTGTAAGGATTTGGGACACACATGCACATACACCTGATGTGATTTCCAAGCTGCTAGGGCTGGGATTCAAAACACAGCCGGCCATATTGAATCTGGCTCCTTTAACCACTAGGTTGTGGAACTGGCTCAAAATGAATGTTTCCCTTGGGGCCAGTAGGTGGCATGGTGGTTGGAGCACTGGAGTTCCATATGATTGACTGTGGCTTGAGCCATAGACCTGGCCATTTGCTTTCTTATTTTCCCTTTCTTTCTGGTGAGTGCGCACGTCGTATAGTAAAATTAAAAAAAAAAAAATTTTTTTTTTCTCATAAGCCTTTGGTCTAAACAGCACACCTGTATCCTTTTGCATGCTTAGATAGAGTATAACAGCACCTCATTTTTTAAACTCTATATTCTGCACAGTATCTTCACATCCTTTAGCTCACTGGGCATAGGCCAAGTCAGGTACTGTTATTTTAGTTACAGAGGTAAGAAAACTATTGGCTGCAAGGCAGAGAACAAATTGGGCAGATGATTTAATGCACAAACTCCTGATAGATGCCAGCCATATGGATGGAATAAATGGAATTTGTGTTTAATTTGTTATAGGGTATGTGCACTCATCAGAGAAAAAACAGATGGGAGGGAGGAAAGGGACAGAGAGAAAGTAAGTGAGAAAACACCCCCTTGGTAGGATGGCCACTTCACAATTCTCTAGGGATTTTGGGCACACATGTATAGATGCCTAGCATGACTTTCAAGCTACTAGGTCCAGGACTTGAATCGCAGTTGGTCATGTGAGATCCAGCCATGCTAACCACACCACTGGCTTGCCCTGAATAAAAGGGTTTATGTGCCAATCAGTGGCCTGGTAATGAAGGGGCCTGGGCCTCACATAACCAACCATGCAGTTCAAATCCCAGACCCAGTAGATTGAAAAACACGCTAGGTGTATGTGTACATATGCCCAAAAACCCCCAAAAAGAAGGAAAATTAGTAAGGGATTGCAGTGTGATCATTCCCTGTAGAGGGTACTTTCTTCTCTGTCTCTCAGGTCAGTGCACATGCTCTCTGGCAAATTTAAAAAGAGAGAAATTTGGTAAAATTTGCTAGACTTGTGACTATTTCTGTGTGAAAGTAAAAGTGAAAAAAAGTCAACTGAGGTTTCTAACTTGAACAATGAGTGGATACTACAGAAACAGGATTAGGTCTAGAATGAGGGTAATGAATTTGCTTTTGGGATATGCTGAATTTGAAGCACCTAAGAACTATCTAGGGGAGTATGATTACAACACAAGTAGAATTAGTCTGGAACCATGGAGGTAGAGCTATCAATAGATTTAATTTCCATCAGCAAAAAAGTAGTTGTTAAAAGATACGAGGGTAAAAAAACTCACTGTAGGAAAGACATGTAGGGGCAATCTGGGTAAAACCCTAAACACTCAAAATATGGTCTACTACGTTTAGAACAACCTGGGGATGGGGACCAGCAGATGGCATTGTGACTATGTCTGGACTCTCACATGGCTGACTGTGATTTGAGTCCCAGACCTGGTGGCTTAAAAATCATGCCAGGCGTGTGTAACAACCAAAATCCCAAGAGGAGAATGGAGAAGGGATCACAATGTGGCCATCTCCCTTCAGGGTGATTTCTCATTTCACCTCTTACTGTGTCTCTCTCTTCAACAAGAAAAACGAATAATCTGGGGTGCATTTAAAAAAAATAATTTTATTTATTTCATCTTATTTGTTTATTATTATTTTTTAATTTGACCAGTGAGAGAAGGAGAAAGTGAGAAAGCAAGCTCCAGGCCTGGGACTTGAACCACAAATGGCCATGTAGGAGTCCAACACCTTAACCCCACACCACCTGCCAGCCCCTGGGGTGCCTATTCAAAACAGATTCTCCATTGTAAATGCACTTAATATCACAGAATCATACACTTAAAAATGGGTAAAATGTGGGCCAGCAGGTGATGTAGTGGTTAAGGTGTTGGACTCCCACATGAGTGACTGAGGTTCAGGTCCCAGACAAGGTGGCTTAAATATCACACTGGGTGTGTATGTATATGTGCCCAAAAATCCTGAGAGGAGAACGGAGAAGAGACTGTGGAGTGGTCATCCCCACTGGGGGGATGATACTTTCTTTTCCTCTCTCTGTCTCTCTACGGTGAGCATAGGTATCCCATGCCAAAAACCTTAAAAAAAAAAAAAAGATAAAATGTTTAAATTTGGGACCAGCAGATGGGATAATGGTTATATTGCTGGACTCCCATATAGGTGACTGTGGTTTGAGTTCCAGTCCTGGTGGCTTAAACTTAACACCAGGTGCATGTAGGTGCGTGACCAAAATTCCAGGAGGAGAATGGAGAAGGAATCACAGCATGGGCATCCCTCCTGGGGTGGTGATTTCTTGCTTTGTCTTTTCTGTAAGCACATGTACCTTGTAACAGAAAACACTCTAACAAAATGGTTAATTTCATGTTATTTATATTTTACCAAAATAAAAGAATGCAACAAAGATTCCTAAGCCGCATTCTAGATCTGCATTACTATCTCTGGGTTCATAATTTAAATATTTTAAAAATCACTTAAATGGCTGTTAATGCATCTTGGCTAGTATTTGTAGTTGCTGTGCTGTGTTGGGCATGTTGGCAACTTGACTTGCTCCAGAAAATAAGGTGCTTTTCCTACAGATCCCTTCCTTTAGTCATTCCAGATTGCATTGTGGTTTTGCCAGAGACAGGCCTAGTAAGTCCAGAAGCCTGAAGAAATCAGATCTGATTCAAGGAGCCCAGGGAACAGATACTTTTTAAAGCTAGCCTGTTCTCATCTTTATAAAAAGTAGCCCTTTCCAGATCCCACAACCAGAATCACTTTTTCTAGGCCATCCCAATCCAGAGAGCCTAGCATAGTGCTCCACAGATGAATTCTCCTCAGGTATCATTCAACACAATGAGAACAGATACTGATTCTCTCCATTATATGCCTTGGATATTTTGCCAAAAGCTCCTGGTAGGTTTTGAGGCAGCCTGACTATAGATGAGGTAAGACAAGTGAATGAAATTATTAGTATAAAAACCCTTTCAATATCTCTTTTCCTGAGCTTCTTACCCTCCCATCTCATGGTCTCTAGATTCTTAATCTGTTCCTTTCTTTCTCTTCTTCTATCTGTGATTCAGGGACTGGATGAGTCTCTGTGGTTTGTTTTGTCCTGAAGAGCAGAAGGCTTCGGTCCCAACTGGTATTGCCAAAGCAGCATACTAATTCCATGCCATGGTCCTGAGTCAAGATTTGCACGATCTGATCGGCCATGTCACCTCGGATGGCAAGGGAGTGGAAGTGGTCAAAATCATGGAGTCCCAGCTTTCGGAGACGCCTTGCAGCTGCCCGGTAACACTTCCAGGGCTGCGGCTCCACAAGGAGGTAGCGGCAAAGGGAGGAAAGATGGGCCAAGAACTCCCACAGGCCACGGTCCCCATGGTTCAGATGAATCCACATGGTTACTGACATACAGAAGCCAATATCAAAAGCAGAACGTCCAAACTGGCTTAAGAAAGAGTTCAAGAGAACCTTCCGGGTCTTTTGATTCATGAAGTCCAGGGTGATAAAGGTCAAAGCATCAGGAAAAGGACATTCTTTTTGAGCCCGTGCCACCAGGACTGGATCAATGTCGCAGCAGAGGAGACGGAGTTCTGTTGAGGCATCTGAGCAGGTCTCCCCATCATGTTTTTTTTGGGAAAGGAAGTGTTTGTATAGAGCCACACTCAGATCCTAGAGGAATCCAAAATAGTGTTGTCATTGCAGCTCTCAACTAGTGAGCAATCTTTCTCTCTCATCCTCCCACTGAGATTGCCACTTACCCTAAGCTTTATAGAAGGCAAGGAAGCTAAAACTAGAACCTAAGAAGGCCAGGTGGAAAGTTGTCCACAGGGTAGGCTCTTAGAGCCTTCTAGAGTCCCAGGCTACAGTGCATTACCCCTATATTTTCCTGACACCAATGACAGACTGGGTGAAAGTTATAGCCCAATGGATGTGGCAAAAGGGCCTAGAACAGCTAAAGTAATATGATGGTAAAGTCACCATCTTTTCTGGGTATCATATACCCCAGGGAGGAAGAAAGGGGTGTAGAGGCACAACCAGTGTCCCTTACCAGGAAGGTAAGGAAAAGAGCAAGCACCACCTTATAAAAACTTGCTTCTCAGACCTGTAGTTGGATTCCAAAAAGTACTCATTTATCCTTCTTCCTACAGTTTCAGTCTTAATACCTATCTTGTTTCCCCAGATTCTTCTCAGACAAGCTCTGCTTCTGCTGCCATTATTCCCCACTTGCTGCTGACCTCCCTCTGGCCAAATCCAATGACTTCCAGTTTCCATCATCTTAGTATGCTTTTGACTCTTAAATAAATCACCATCTCTTTTCTCTTTGATTTCTATGATCATTAAAAAGACCTCGAATTTGTGTTATTCTAAATAGTTCTTTCAAGATAATCTTCCTGCTTGCTACCTAATTTGTTCTGTCCAACAACAGTATGAGGCATGTCGTTTGTTGTGCAGGTGAAGAAAATGCACAGTGGAGGGCCAGTCAATGGTATGGTGGTTAAAGGTGCTAGATCATACATGGTCAAATGTGTGGTTCAAGTCCCAAACCAGTAGCTTAAGAAACATGCTGGGTGCACGTGTGTGCATACCTAAAATCCCAAGAGAATGGAGAAGGGATTGCTGTGTGGCCATACAATGGGAACCACTCAGATTTTAACCACTCAGATAATAACAGTGTAAGGGACCAGCAAATGATGTAATGGTTTTGTCCCTGGACTCTCACGTAGTCGACTGCGGTTTGAGTCCCAGGTCCAGTGGCTTGAAATTCACTCCAGGTGTGTGTGTAATGCATGCCCCAAATCCTGAGAGAATAGAGAAGGGATTGCAATGTGGCCATCTCTCCTGGGGGACGATTTCTTGCTTTCTGTCTCTCTCTGCATCTCTAGCGAGTGCATGTGCCTTATAGTAACAATCTCTCTACACAAAAATAATAATAAAAAATAACAACATGGACAAATAAAGGTGGTACAATCATTGAATGGGAATATTAAATAGCAGTTAAAAATGAAGGAGCTTGGGCCAGCAGGTGGTGTGGTGGTTAAAGGTGCTGGACTCCCACATGGCAAACCATGGTTTGAGTCCCAGACCTGGCATCTTGCTTTCTCACTATCCCTCACTCTCTCTCTCTGTACCTCTCCAGCCAAATTAAAGATAAATAAATAAAGTTAAAGAAAATAATTCTTAAAAAAAAAAAAAATGAAGGGGCCAGCTAAATAACATAGATGATTTTCACAAATACACAATGCTGAGTAAAAATACATGTCAAGGCCAGCAGGTGGTGTGGTGTTTGAGGTGCTGAACTCCCACATGGCCAACAACAATTTGAGTCCCACACCTGGTGGCTTGCTTTCTCACTTTATCTATTTCTGGTGAACACACATACCCTACAGCAGACTTAAAAATTAATAATAATAATAATAAAGTAATTTTAAAAATACAACTCACAAAATAAAGTATTTGGGAAGTTTCTACTTACGTGAAATCTTTTTAAAAATTATTTTATTCAACTATTTATTTATTTATCCTAATTTGAGTAGAGAGGGACATAGTGAGAGAAAGAGGGAAAGTGCAAGCTACCAGGTCCAGGACTCAAACCACAGTCAGCCATGTGGGAGTACAGAGCCCTTAACCACCATACCACCTGCCAGCCCCTACTTATATGAAATTTTAAAATTGGCAAGGTTAAATATTGTTTAGGAACAGACAAGTGGTAAGCTATAAAGAAAAGCAAGCAAACAATAAAAGTCAGGTTAACTGGGGACCAGCAGATGGTGTAATGACTACATTGCTGGACTCCTATGTAGTTGACCATGGTTCGAGTCCTGGAACTGGTGGCTTAGACTCACACTGGGCGCGTGTGCATGCGTGCCCAAGATCCCAGGAGAATGGAGAAGGGATGGGAGTGGGGCCATCTCCCTGGGGGGTGATTTTTCACTTTCTGTCCCTCTGTCACTGTGTTTCTGGCGAGCGCATGCGCCCTATAGCAAAAAAACTCTCAAAAAAATTTAAAAAGTCAGATTAACTGTTACCTCTGGCTGGAGAGGGGTGTTTATGAACAGGAAGGGCATATGGAGGATTTCTGAGAGGTTGACAATGTTTTATTCTTGACCTAGACAGTGGTCATAAAGGTGTTTGCTTTATAGAAACTCATAAAGTATAAATTTGTGTTATGCATTTTTTTTTAGTATTTGTGGCATAGGTCACAAAACAACAAGTATATTTTAAAAACTGATTCAGACCCAGCCTCTGTAGCATAGCAAACAACATACTGAACTGTAAAACTGAAAGCCACATGCCAACCTCAGTTTGAGTCCCTGGTCTAATCAGCCTGAAAACCTATCAGGTGCATGTACTTGTGCCCAGGATCTTGCAGGCTGGAGGACTGGGATCACAGCAGGACTGAGCCCTACAGAGGGGGCGTTTCTTTCTCGCTCTCCCTCACACACTTATATTCTATACTCTCTTGACTGTGCACAAATACTTTATTATAAATAATAAATGAATTAATCGGGACCAGCAGGTGGCATAGTGGCTAAGGTGCTGGACACTCCCACATGGCCGACCACGGTTCGAGTCCTGGGCCTGGTGGCTTGCTTTCTAGGTTTCCCTCTCTCTTTCTATCTCTCTCTGTGTCTTTCTCTGCTCAAATTAAGAATAAATGAATAAATAAGATTATAAAAAATAAATTAATTTAAATGATGATTCAGGGCCAGCTCTATAGCCTGGTGGTTAAGGGAGATGGATGCTACATGACCAACTAAGCAGTTTGAATCTCTGCCCAAGCAGCTTGAAAAGTACAGTGGGTACATCTGTGTGCATGCCCAAAACCCCAACATGGAAAAATGGAAGAGAAAGGACTATGGCATGGCCGTGCCCTTTAAGGAGGGTTTTCTCCCTCTCCTTCTATCCCTGGCAAGTGCACATGCCCTCTGGCAAAAAAGAAAAAAGAGTTCAGAAGCTAGTGACTTACTTGTCTAATGTCACATGGTTCACAAATAGCAAGACTAAGGTTATATTAGGTTCTTTCATTTATAGCAGGCTTCTCAAACTTTAATGGGCATAAAAACCACCTAAGGATTTTGTTAAAGACAACGATTTTGTAGACTTTACATGACTGAGATTCTGCATTTCTAATCAGACAAGTCATGCCAATACTGTAGTTCAAGGATCTTTCTCTGAGTAGCAAGACCTTATACCATGTAGCTTAACCCCGCCCCCCCATTTAATTTTTTACTATCTTCCTCCTCCCATCTGATCTTGGGTATGGCCTCACATTTGGTCACTTCATTATACCAGTTCCTCCCTACCACATTTATCTGCTCAATTCCCTAATCCTAGAATCTTCTGGAAACTTAGACTCAAGGGCTCAATTCCCCAAGATCTTGATTCAATAGATACAGAGTAGGGCCTAAAAACTATTGAAATTTAAAAAAGCACCCATAAATTATGGCACATCTGTACAATAACATACTATGAACTGTTAAAGAATGTAGTGAGGGATACCAGGTGGCATAGTGGTTAAGGTGCTTGGACTCCCACATAGCTGAGTGTGGTGAGTCCTGGACCTGGAGGCTTAAAAATCTTGCCATGAGGGAGACCAGCAGGTGGTGTGGTGGTTAAGGTGCTGGACACTCACATGGCTGACCACAGTTCGAGCCCTGGACCTGGCAGCTTGCTTTCTCACTTTCCCTCTCTCTCTCACTCTGTCCCTCTCTGGTCAAATAAAATAAATAAATAAAGCTAAATGAAATAATTCTTTAAAAAAATATATCATGGAGCCAGCAGGTAGCATGGTGGTTAAGGGCGCTGGACTCCCACGTGGCAGCTGGCTGCAGTTTGAGTCCCAGACCTGGTGGCTTGTTTCCCAGTTTCTCTCTCTTTCTCACTGTGTCTCTCAGTGTTCAAATTAAAATAAATAAAGTTAAAGTAATTCTTAAAAAAAAAAATCATGCCAGGCATGTGTGGATGCATGGGATTAAGGGCATGACCATCCCCTGGGGAGTGATTTCTCACTTTCCCTCTCTTTGGTGAACACATACACCCTATGGGGGGAAAAATAGTGACATGAATGACATGTGAATTATTAAATGAAAAGCAAAGTACAAAATAGTGTGCTATATTTGTAAAACTAAAATGGAAGTGGGTTATTTATACAAACATAAATGTTGTTATAAACAGTGGTGCCACTGTGCTGGGGAAAAGGAAGATTTAGGGCTAGGAATAGATATTTATTTTTATTATCCCTTCTGTATTTTGAATTTTTTTGTTTTATTAAGTGTGTTTTTTCAAAATACAAAACAGAAAGCACCCTAAATGTATAGCCAGGTTTGGGAATCACTGCCCTAGTTAACTGCAACTATGCCTATAACATATATGTATACAGACATGCACACACGCACACACACATATCCCAACTTTCTCTCTCTCACACACAAACACATATATAAAATCTCTGTTGGTTTTCTAATGCCCTTCCTGAAATCCCAAACCTTAAACCTAGTTTCTTCTCCATTGTTTATCCTCTGATTTCCTGTGTTAAAATGTGTGGAGAAATGTTTGCAGGGGGAGACACCACACATCAGGTCATTCTGGCCTTTGAGACTGAAGCCAGGGTTCCCCTTCTTATCAGTTGTGTTCATCAAGGTCTTTAAACCTCCATCAGAGTCTCTTCTCCTAAGGCCTTTGCCACAGTAACAGCTCTTGGTTGGAAAAGAGTAGAGTGTGGGTACCAACTTTAAAAACATTTCCAACCATAGGGTCAGACTGCCTGTTTTTCTAAGATACCCTGGTGGCTACAAACACACATGAGACAGACATTTCCTTATCTTGATTATCTTTAGACTACACTCATTATATGTCTAGAATACTTTTGCAAGTAAGAAGAGTGGCAATGCACTCCTCCTTCACTCCTGTATTTTCCTAATATATCCTCTCCGCTGTACTTCATCAACTCACTGCATTAAAATTATATGTATGTATATATATATTATATATATATATATATGTGTATGTATGTGTGTGTGTGTGTGTATATATATATATACACGCATGCCTGTCTCCAGGGTTCGATATGCACCGAATGACATACACAAGTCTTAACTCCAGCCATGATTCTGTTCCCCAGTCCTCCCAACAAATCATTTCAACCCCACGCTCCCACCAAGGGTCTCCAGAGGTCCCCTCTCCCGACAGGTCGCTACCCACGATGGACAGGAGGCAGGGGCTGGAAGCCCAGATACGTTGGCCCTCCCCACTTTGGCCATGTGGGCAGTGAAGGCCGAGGCGGGTAGGCGGGAATTCGGAATGTATTGTAGTTGAGACGGATTTCTCCCCAAGATTCCAAAGAGAATGGTGGTGGGATCCTGGCGAACAGGTAGCAGCAGCCCAGGCTCGGTCAACGTTACTCTGTAAGTTCGTTCTGGGAGAGTTTTTAAAGGGACGCTGCCGCACCCCTGTCAGAGCTACAGCGAACGTGGAGGCTGCCAAGCGGTCGGTTCCCAGGGCTCCGCTCCCTCCCCCGTCACTCACCCCGGAGTTACACCCCACGTCGAGCCCCAGGATCGGCCTCGTGTCGGGACTCCGAGGGAAAAGCCGTTGGAGCAGCTCCGGGGGCAGGAGGCGGAGCCGTTGCTCCGGAGGATGGAAGCGGGAATAATGAGGGAAATTTCCGAACGGGGCAGCCCCGGGTTCCAGAACTCGCGATTCCTCTTCCGCCCCGGCCTCCTTAACACCTCCTCCGGTTAGTTTCACAGACGCCGCCATTAGCCTCAGTCCCACCTCTGAGTTCCGGCGGAACCGGAAGCCAAGAACTCGTAGTGGACTGGCGGCATGCCCCTGCTAGCGCGCATGCGTTGAAGGACCGGGGCGGGTGGCTGGGGTGTTGCGGATGGGAAAAGCTGGCTGACGTTATGTTGTTGACCCGCCGAGTGCCTGGTTCCCTGTTGTTGCACGGGGCTTGCGTTGTCCTGTTCAACCCTCGCCACAACCCTGAGAGGCAATAACGTATTTTACAGGGAGGAAATAAACGGCTAGCTGACATAGTTTGAAACTTGGGCTGCTTGAACCTGAACAAGGAGTTTGTTGGGATGTTAGAGATCAATTTAGGGGGGCCTAGCAGGTGGCATGGTGGTTGGGGTGCTTTGGGAGCTGGACTCTCAAGTGGATGACTGTGGTTCAAGTCTCGGACTAGGCTTACTTTCTTTCTTTCTCCCCCGGTGAGCACACATTGCCCTATAGCAAATTTTTAAAAAGATGATAATAAATAAGTAATAATTTTTAAAAATCTACTTAAGCCCAACTTCCTTTCTTTATAAATGCATAAAGTAAGACTCAGAAAGGAGAGATTATTTGTTTGGGATCCCGCAGTGTATCTGTGACACGGGAGTAGGCATCCAGTTCAGGAAAAAGTAGCAAGAGCTACTTGAGGTGTCAGAAGACAGGTGGCCCTGCCTGCTTAGAGTGACAGGTGGACAGGGCAGCTGTAGACTGCAGTGTCTAGAGAGGCAAGGACTATACCTTGAGAGCCGACACTTAAAGAGTGCTTACCAGGCTCCAAACACTTGTAATTCTAAACTCTACATGTACTCACTCACTTAAAACTTACACTATGCCAATGAGGAAAGACTGTAATTATTACTTCTTTTATGTAGACAAGGCCATTGACACGTAACTAGCCCAAAGTCATGCAGTTAAAAGTAAATAGTACCACTGGCCAGCTTGTGCCTGGTGCTTAAGGTGGCTAGGACTATTTCTCATGAGCGGGGAGAGTGTTTTCCCCCTCACTCTGCATCTCTCTGGTGAGTGGACGCATGCCCGGGTAAACTGAAAAGTAAAAAAGGAAAGAAGCTGTAGCCTAGGATTCGAACCTAAGCAGTTTGACTTCAAATAGTGTGTTTGCAACATAGTATTCTCAACCTTGAATCCCCAATGCTTGCCATAATGTCTGGCACAAAGATGCTCAACTAATATTTGTTAACTGGAAACGCAATAAAGGATGGAAGTAGGTGACTAAAGCCAGATCTGTTGGGAAGACTAAAATGGAAGGGAGAAAGGAGCTGAATTGAAATAGACAATGGAATAGAGCTAGGCAAAATGTGGGCTGGACCAAACAGAGCAAAAAGAAAGAGCTGGTAAGGAGAGAGATTGAGCAGTTGGCCTGGGTACCAGTTTCTCAAGTCAGGAGTCAGAATGGCCCAGAATTGTCCAAGAGGGTTAGCCAGGGGTCAGCAGTGCTGGGCTGACCACTTCTCACCAGTCAACCTATTATAAAGGGGACTTTTGGTGATTTGCTAAACTTCTTTTTTGTTTGTTTGGGTTTCTTGTTGTATTTTGTTTATAAGCCAAAGGGTACATGTACTTGCCAGAGACAGAGAGAGAGAGGGAGAGAGAGAAAGCACCCCCAGTGGGGCATGGTCATGCTGCAATCCTTCTCGATTTCTCCATCCTGTAGGGATTTGAGGCAGGCACACACACTCACCCAGGATGTTTTTCAAGCTATCAGGGCCAGGATTCAAACCATGCAGTCATTACTGTGGGATCCAGCTTCCTTAACCACTAGGCCTGGGACATGGCCCACCAAGCTTATACGGGACTCCTGCAGGCAGTGCCATCAAAGATTAAAATAGACCCTCTCTCTTTTCCTCCCAGATTCTATTTTATATTTTCATCTCTGCCTAATACTGTTTCACTATTTTTTAAAGTCTCTCCTAAACACTTAAAAAATTTTTTTTTATTATCATCATAATCTTGTTTATATTACATTGGATTACATATAACTTTACAGTGTATTACATTGCTTTCTCAAAAGGGAATGCCATGCATGTCAGTCAATACAGAGACATTAATCTCCCCGCTTCAACATTCAATATCTTTTCTATGTTTTCCCCAATCATTATTATTATTATTCTAATTATTTTTTAAAACAGTCAATCGCTATTTCTCATTTTGCTTGTAAAAAGACTTTGCCCATCATGAAATACTTCTCAGACCAATCCAGTTGAGAATACTATACACGTCATCATCAACAGTTAATAAGCCCTATCTGTTTCTCACGAACGTCCTGCCTCTCTATTGTTCACTTGCTATCTTTCTCTATCCTCTTCTCTTCACTTACCCCATTCCACACTGTCCTATTCTCATTAAGTACCTTCACTGCTTTTATGTCCTCCAATTTTTCGCTCTCTACCACAGAGTGCGGATAG